TGGGTGTCACTATGTTGCCAGAGAAACGGCTGCAGAGTAAATACGCTTTTCTAAGTTAAAATTAAATAAATCCTGATGTGTGTCTCTGCGTTGCCCTGTGACAGACTGGTGACCTGTCCAGGGTGTAGCCCACCTCTCACCCATAGACTGCAGGAGATAGGCACCGGCCCCACCCCCACCCTGATGGAATAAACAGGAGAAGGTGGATGGATGGTTTAGATAGTTTCTCCTGCTGATCAATAAAAATTATAGATTTTGTTTATAATTTAATTTATCTTTTTTCTAATAATACATTTCTTCTAATGATCTGAATCAATAATGTGTAAAAACAAACATAAAACCAAATAAATATTTAAGGAGAAAATAACTTTGTTATATTTTATTTTGTCACAACACATTAAGATGAGATCTTTTAATGATAAAGACACATTTTTTTATTGTTTTATTCCAGATTTTCATGAAACAGTTTTTGGACGCTGCCATGGAGCCGCAAAATAAAGGGGTTTTCCACCGGGACTTAAAAGTTTAAGAACACACTGGCAGAAATGGGCCCCTGGGGGCTACGCAGCCATAACATTGACTGTGGCTCTGGAAGCTTTGAGCTGAAGACAGTCTACAGAAGCTTTAGTGGTGGGTTTTCACCTTATTAAAAGTTTAACGGAGATGTCAGATCATCTTTAAGTCATTTCCTTCAAAAAGCAAATGGAAGAACAAACCATGAATCCAGAAGGATGCAGACAAACTGGATCTCATGAGGCCTCACAGAACAGACAACAATCAAGGATTTACAGTGGCTCTGTTCTAAAGTCTGCTCTGACTCTGCCTGTATTCCAGGTACTCTGGTTGGAGCAGGTCTGTAGGAAAAATACAGACCTGCTCCGACCACAGTTTGGCAGCTGGGAGTCATGCTTCACATGTTGATGCACAGGTGCTGCTTTGACTCCAGGCTTTTCATAGATGGCGTCATTAACTTCAGCAGCAATCTCTCTCGAGGTAGGAAACATAACCAGCAAGTGCCTTACTAGTTACCTCCACCTGTGCTTCTGACCATGATCCTCTTGGCTTCTCTTTCCAGAAGGCCTGGATTTCCTCCATCAGTGTTTGGAGGAGAACTATGAGGGTCCGTGTAGCTTTTGGTCATTAGATTGTCGTTTCAGAAACGGGAATTTAAAAAACAAAAACAAATAGCGATTTGATTTTTGTTTTAAAATACAAAGAAGAAAGTTGAAATTCAAAGTGTTTCACTTTTTCATTGTCAAAAAGGGAAAAGTAAAATTTGAAAAATGATGTGAATTTAATTTCCCATTTCGGGAAACAAAAACCAAAAAGGCTTTGAACAGAAAATAAAAAAAGGCTTGTTTGTGGTGGATT